CGGACACTGGCAGTACATGAGTGCAGAAGCGGCGCGATTACTGCCAGAGGCGTGCCTTCGTTCAGCAGGTTGGCCAAGTCAGCACCTGACATGCCCGGCGTCTGTCTTGCGATTGCGGAGAGGTCGACACCCGGGGCCAAGTTCTTGTCCTCGCCATAATGGAGGTCATCGACAGCAGAAGCTTCAAATGTGCTGGCTGTTGGGCAATTTAAGTGCTGCAGCCTTGGCATGAACTTTGAGAATCTCAGTGCGGCCTTGCACATCAGGGGGATCCACCTGATAGGTTTGAAAGGCGGCGATCAAAGAACCTGTACAAGAAAACTGGCGGGCCTGAATCTGACGATCAAAGCGGCCGGGTCGAACCAAGGCTTGATCCAGGATGTCAGCTCGGTTGGTGGCCGCGATCACAACGACCCCCTTGTTGCTCTCGAAGCCTCCAGTCGACCCCAAAAGCGTGATACTGCGTGATGGTGCAAAAGGTTGGTTGTCGAAAGCCAGTACACAACTACCAAGGGAGAACCAACTCTCAATTCCCAGGAGCCATCCATTTCTGTCAGCAGCTGATTCACCGTCTGCTCACGCTCATCGTTACCTTTTGCAGCTCCATGTAGCAACGCCAACTGAATGCAGTGTGATGCTAACGCGCTGAACGATGGCCTTGGCCAAAGCCAGCACTGCGCTGGCGGCCCACTGCATCGATCTCGTCGATGAAGATGATGCACGGGGCCGACTTCTTGGCCTCCAAACGGTTTCGTGAGCTGTTGGAACGAAGCAGTATCTCCATGAAATGGCTGCTGGCCTGCTCGAAGAGATCACGCACACGAGATGCACCAATTCCCGCGAAAATCTCCACAAACTCAGAGGCCGAAATGCTGAAGAATGGCACGCCAGCCTTAGTTCAGGCCACCCGTGAGTGCCGGGTTAAGAGGAACTACAAGCTACTGTAAGCTTCTAGCCTCTCCCGCGACAGCTTTGGCGAGCAGGGTCTTTCCAGTACCGGGAGGGCCCACCAACAAAGCACCCTTTGGAATCTTGGCACCCAGGTCTGAGTACCTCACTCACGCAAGACCATCTCAAGACTGTGCATCGCAGCACACTAAACTGTAGATCAGCCCACACCGACAGCCTCGAGGTGTTCTTCAAGAAATCAACGACCTCAACCAACTCCTGCTTGGCACCGTCGCAGCCTTCACCAGATGGCACAAGTGCTTGTGCACGGACGACATCAAAACGCATGGTTGTGAAGGGAAGCTGTGCCTGCTACATCAGCGAACTTGACTTTCGTGTCTCCGTCCTCCACAAAGACGATAGAAAAGACATTCACATGCCGAAAGTGCCATGAATGAAGAAGTAACGACTGCAGCTTGAGCATGGCCGCTCCTTGATGATGCGAGCCTTGGATTTGCCAAGCTCGAAAGGGTTGCCTCCAGGGCCTCCAGGACCAGCAGGACCTGTAAGGCCAGTCAGCGTCACAGGCAGATCGGGGGGGAAACCAGGCCAAAAGCAAACGTGATGGCCGAATGAAGACTAATCACTCCTGCCTCCAAATGGCAAGCCACCGAATAGAAGCAGCAAGCCTGCGATGAGCCAGGCGATCGGGCCTGCAAAGCGTGCCAAGAAATCGAACGGCGAACCGCCCGCATTCGCATTCTGCATAACCTGAGCTGCGGTGCATTCTGTGCTTCACATCTTCAAGGCTACGCATGGCTACGCCATGCTACACCCTGTGATTGTGGTCACCAACTTCTTGCTCACTGACCAAACTGCAGCCGGGCAACAACGTCTACCTTTTTGTCGGCGAGAGTGTTGAACAGCTCGTCTTCAATCTGGGCATTTGGGATGAGGTTGACTTCCCGTCGGGCACCGTCCTGACAAGATGCAGCTCTTGGCTGCAAATGCTGACATTTGATC